GCTCACCCACGCTTTCCTAGTGCATGTCATAGACAAGTTTAAGATGCACAAGAAATACAGCCTAGCATCACTGCAAAGTCTTCAGAGCCATTCCCTGACAAATTTATGAAAGGAACTTAATGTACATGAAAATTTGGCTTTTAATAGTTCATTTGCAGTTTTTTACTTCATTCTTAGTTGATGTCAGATCCTATGATGCCACAACAGCCACTAGTAGTGACTGATATCACACAGATAAAGCTGTGTTCTGACACAAAGGTTAAGCAGTAGGAAAGAAAAACAACTTTTCTTTTATGCAAGTAATTGCAGTATAGTGTGCTGATATAATTTCTGTCTACGTCTTGAATCACATGCTAGTATACTGCTTTCATTCTCACATTACACAATAGCAATCAAAACACATTTTTCTACTTTAGTTGCAGATTTACTATAGTATTACAGAATTATTTATAAATAAACACACACAGCAAGCTACCTATGGTATCTGTATTGTGTGAAGTCTATATTATTATGGGCTTCCACTATAAAAATTGGTTTTGGTAACAGAAAATGAGAACACAAAATGTTATGCAGAAGCCAAGCTATTTAGGAGTACAATCACTCAAGCTTTTAAGTAAAGCGCAACAGCTCTTTAATAACTAGTCCAGAAGCCATCCCACCCTGAAGTTATTTTTACCAAGCTGTCTTCAGCACACAATTATTTAACTTTGTTTTGGCTATGCAAGGAAAGAAGTGCTCCAAACATATGAAACAGTATTTTCTATGCTTTTTGTATGCTTTTTATAGAAACCTCAGTAGTTAATAAAAAAATAATAATAGATCAATGTTTTTACACTCAAAGTTTATTTAAGAATTTTATTTCCAAATGTTTTGTGAATTATACAGATGAGAGCTGTACGTAACAACTTTTCTAAGAAGCTACATACTTATATTGAATATTTCCTTCTGAATAGTTGACGATGCCAGTTTCTTCTGAGAATTTAGGGGGGCAGTTCTTGGAGATGCAGGGATAGAGAAAAAGTAAAGGAGGATAGAGGCAATATCTGAAAACCAGTCCTTACTCATTTGCAATGTAGATAACTTCATGCTTCTCAGTTACTCCGATGTCATGCTCCAGTTGTTTCATCTGTAATTCCAGCTTTTCTTTATTCATCTTCTTGGATATGGTGTATGTTTGTACTGGGAGTCTCTGATATTTACGATACACTTCATCCCAGTTCTTTTTCAGCCCCTAATGCCATTACATGAAAAGAAAATATATGAGAAAAACTTACTTCATTAAGAATTATATACACATAAACTACTTAAGGGGTTTTTGTTAATAATGCATTTGATAAGGGTCACTGCAATGTTCAAATAATAGATGAATATATGGATAACATTTAATCATCTTTATTGGACCAAATTAATTAAATGCTTAAAAGTCAAAGTAGTTGCAACAGATAAAATTTTCACTTATCCTGATGCAATATAAGGAATGGTCTCTAAGTAACTCTGTGCCTTGGAGAGAAAAAATTAGAGTCTTTAAGAGGCAACAAAACAATAATTAAACTAGCCAATGCAGGATGAGCTAAATTGAAAAAAAGTATGTCAACGTGACTAACAGTCAAATCTGTAGCCTACCAGGAACTCAAGGAAGCCTGTACGCTTCCTTTCCAGTCCTCAGTATCTTCAAGAAAAACTGCACAAGGTAAATGAGGAGTGACTCTTCCTTACTGTATAGAAGAGACTTTCTATGCTTTCAATGATCTACTGGTAGGCAACCTTGACTACTCCATTGTATCTAATGCTAGTCTGCTCACTAAGGAACTGCTAGGATTCATGAAAGATGCCTCAAAACTCATATCACTCCAATTCTTTCTTTTCTCCAAAATGCAATGGGAATTCTCTTGCAAAGTGCACTACAGAGAACGCTTCACAGTAAACAGCAACCTGGCTACCACAGATATCACCATGTCACAGTGGTGCTACCTACCTTAAGTCATGACAAGAGTACCAATACTTGGAACTCCAGCCAAAATTCAATGGCAGTGTCAGTTCATCTGACCACCAGCTTCATTTTCCATAATTGAGACTTCGCTCACAGCATTGGCACCAAACTGATAGCACAGTATTTTAACCTCTATTAACTACTTTGAAAAAAAATTAAATAATAGCATTCCTTTCCTAATCTACATTTACAGTAACATCTATAGGCAACAAGTTTATCATTTGGACTAAAGGACCTAGCTGTCACTGACCCTATCAACAATAATTTAAATTACTGCTACCCCTCTTGAATGCTGCTATGCAAAGAATTGCCTTACTAGATAAAGTGAACTGTATCTTCCATATATAAGCGCCCAAAACTGAAACCCTGACTAAAAAAACATGCAGTCATCTGAAATGGACTCATAAACCTGTTAATTCAACATCAGAGACAAACTTTTATCCACCAATACATGCTGAGTGGAACCAGAGTGTGGTAGAAAAATTAAATTTAAATCTTGTCTTTACATCCTCACACTTACTGCAACAATTGCTCTTAGTTCCTCTCCTCAAGAGGATAATCAAAATCTACACATCCTGTACATGTATATATGAGGATTTAGCAGAGTTTATTCAGTACGTCAAATGTCCCCATGAAACCTACATGGGTGAACTTACTAATCACACCTACTACAAGGAAATCATATAGCAACCAGTAGATAATACAAATATGGCTATCAGTGAGAAAACACTTTTACCAAATGTTTTTTTGGCTCTCACTTTTGTTTCCTGAGAGGAGATCAGAAATTATCTTCAAAAATGAAGAACTGAAGTTACTGTCTTGGAAACAAAAGTTTTCAACTCTCCTCCATAACTAAAACTGGATCCAACTGACACTCTGGTTTTATAGCACATTGTGATTTACAACCTCATGTCCTTCTCCACTATTCTTAAGCACCTTTTCTCCCAGACTGGCTAACTGATTAACACTGAAGTTAAATTCAGAGGAGTTATTCATAGTACATATTTAGCTTTGAAGATTGTTGCTTCTACTTCAGAACTCAAGGACTCTTGTGCCTAAAAACTTGGCTCATTTTGCCCACTGTATGAATTGATTTAACGACAAAAAAAATTATCTCTCTCTGTCAATACTAAAAACCCCATACTTTTTAATATGAACTAATATTTTACTGGTTCAAAGCAGTGGATTTATTGCACAGCAATTAATGCTTTTTACAGATTCATATTAAACATCTAAGCGTTGTCCATAAAAGTTATTCTTGTTACAGCTACACACATTTGAAAACCCTGCCTCAACATGGGAAACTAGAAGCAACAAGCCTATTTATTTACTGTCTTGTAATGCTACTTGTCTTTGCAATCCATGGCTGTAAAGTAGTTACATAAAGCTCTGAGTCTACCAGGCATAGTTTACAAATACGTAGTCATGAAAATAAGTAAGTATTCCAGAAACTTTCATAGACCTGTCATGTGTAGCTTCTTTTAAATAATTCTTCTTTGTGTACATTAGTAAAAACTGGTTTGGAAATCATTGAAAACAGTGATTTTTAAAACACATTAGAGCATGCACTCATCACAATTTATTCTGTCCCTACAGAGTGGAGAGATCAAAAGCAGATCATGACTCTCTACTTAAAAATCTCTCTCATAGCTCCTCCAACAGCAATGTAATATGCTGACCACTATTTCTATGGGCTAGATCTGAATATCAAACAAACTGAATAACTCTATATAAGGAATTTTAATACATGCTGGATCAGTGAGAAATATGTACTGCATTTATCAACATACTCTTTTATTCTCATAAAATCCCAACCAAAGTAAGCATAATGGAGAAAGAGTTCAGAAAATGTTGGCACAAATTATTTCCCTTTATTTTTGTAAGTTCACGAGGCTTGATTTTGTTCTTAGACATCTATTGCCACGTATTCTTTCAAATCAGATAGTGCACATGTGTTCACTAGCAATGTCAATTATTTCAAAAGACAGGAATTCCCATATGTCTACAGCTGAGCACTGGGTAGGAGCCACATACCCTGGGGACACTAATTTCTCCTGACAATGTAACTGTGTAAGTAATCTGGCCTATGAAAGATTTTTGGAAAATTTGAAAGAAAATACTGAATTAATACAAACAATCTAAAAACTTTTCAAATAAAAACATATTTCAGTGCACTCTTGTATTTTAAATATACAGTATATAATTTTAATCAAACTAAATGCAGAACTGTGACCAGCTGAGCTCACATGCCTTTTTGCACATATATTTTTGCTGCATAGTTAACTCACTGGACCATCAGTTTGTCCCATGCCTTTCCTACCATAAAAATATCTTAATCTTCACCCTTGCTGTTATGTTCTTTATATTGCTGTCAATGCAATACCTTCACCTCTCTCCCATACTCCTCCCTAGCTTCTACTGCTTGCTGCATAAGCAAGAGCCACCGTTGTTCTAGGTATTTTGGATCCTGCTGATTAACCAGTTTATCTTTGCAAGTGAGTTAGACACTATGTTTTCTCTCTAGATATTCTGCTGGGGTTTTTTGTGGAAATTTAGCATGTTGGAGATGTCCGGTCATCTGCTAATTTGTTTCAGGTGGTTACTAAGATCAAGTTATTAAAGAAAAGACTGATAAACAGGTATCACTGTAATGTAAGCATCATTTTCATAGGAAATTTGGCTAAAATGTGGTCATGAGAAGTTCTTGTTCAAGGATTGGATATGCTTTTAAAATGTCTCTTTTCCGCTCTACTTCTTTTACGGTATTATTTCTTTTTAGAAAATCTTGTGCAATAAAAACTCTATGAAAGACAGTATCCAAAACAGCTTGACAAAATACAATTTTTCCAGTCATAGTCTTCAAAATATTGCAATTTAATTGTGTTTTCTGCTTTTGCCACGTTTTAAAGCATGGTCTGGTCTTTTGCTTTAGTCAGTGAGATCACAGTGTGAAGACAGAAACTGCCAATAAAAATGGCAGTATTATGCATCAGGGAAAAGAAAAAAGTAATTTGTGTTTTTCCATGATTCATAAGTAGAGAGTTACAACTGCCACTAAACCCATATAGGTGATTTTCTGTATTCCTTTGAAGTTTCACTGAAAATCCAAGTCATTAAGGGGGATAGGAATCTAACAGAATTAAGTGCTTGTAAAACTGGACTAAAACTAGCTACATCAGTTTCCTTCAGTTCAGTTTACAACTATTCTACAGCTCCATCTAGTGAAAAAGTAGCTAACTCATTTGCCTCACTTAAAAAATCTAGTATACTTTTATTATTTATATGGCCTTGCACTACCTTATTAATCTTTTGTACATGTTACTAATTACTCTAAATCTAAATATGCACCTCAAGAAGACTTTTCCTCTCTTCATCAGATAGCCGCTTCATGGCATTTTTCTTGAGATGCTCCAAGACACTGGCCTCATATTCTTCTTGAGCTCTCTTCATTTCCTCATTTCTCTGTGTTACATATTTTGGTGTAACACCATAATCCTGAGGGGGTAAGGAAGAAGTTTCTTATATGTGGAAGGAAGGAAGAAGGAAACAAAGACATACCTGTCATCCATGATATATTACATTTGCAAAGACAGCTTGAAATGGAATTTTGTGCCACTGAGCAATAAAATCTTAAATCACTGTGTTCTTAGAAGTATCAAACATGATTGTATTTGTAGCCTGAGCGAAACATATAAACAATTCCCTTCAATTTCTTTTTGCAACCTTCAAAGACAACAGAACCCAGAAACCAAAACCTCTATTTATAAAAACTGATGGTTGAGAGAGGAGTTTGAAACCTGTTAATGACAGCAAGCTACGTTACATTTTAATTTGGTGTCAGATTCTGCATTCTGAAACACATTCCTTAAATACTTTCTTTGAAAGGTCTTCCTGTATCCTGTTTTTTGCTGAACATTGCATGTCACAGAGAGTGAATAGTGTTAACGTACACATGAAAACTGGACTAGTTAGGAATTATAAACTACCCCGCACTGGATGTGGCAAAATTGTGTTTCTGGGAGGAAAAATAATTTCTGAATATCCCAGATGTACTTGGGGGAACACATTTATTTATTTGGCCTTATTCTTCGTAAAATGAAGCCTATCTAGCTCTGCCAGAAAGCACTGGAGTCTATCTTCTTTCTACCAAATGCTAAATGATTCACAAATCTTTTAGTGTTGGGTAGCATTATGACTAGCATTGTTGATAAATGTGTTTAGTCATGCAAAGGTACTGCAAGGGCTTCAGGTTCACTTTTTTGCATCTTCTCTGTCATGAGCTATGTTATATGTCATGTCTCTTTTTGCATAATACTCTGAAATTACTTATCTGTTTGATAAGCCAGGTTCCCGATACATCTTATTTTCCTGAGTAGTGGAATGGTCTGTTCTTGTGCTTGGAGAAGGTTGTCCTTAAAGGCGTATCAGCTCTCAAGCTCCTTCTGTTTTCAGTGCAGTTTCCCACAGCATCCTATGTACTACTTCCTTGAATAAGCTGACATTTCCTCTCCTGAAGTACAGGGTCTGTACACTACCACCCATCTCCCTGAGGAGGAGAGGATCTTGAACTACTTCATGACCTGTGCTACTACTGATTATGGCACCTCTGACCCATTCTTTCTTATTTGTAAGTAGCAGAACCAGAAGAGCATGACCGCTTTTGTTGGCTTATCCACCATCTCTGTTAAGAAGCTTTCTGGATTGCTTTCATTGTATTATGTTGTCCTTTCAGCAGATATCAAGGATGGTGAAGGCTTCCATAAGAAGCTGCACTATGACTCGAAGATATCCTCAAGTTGCTTGAAGAGATTTCATCCAGTTCCCTACCTGATTGGATGGTCCATAATAAACATGCTTCTGACACTTAGTGGCCTTTCCTCTGATACTGACCCAACCAGCTTGTTGCCAGTTCCATAGAAGAGCTCCATATACTTGAACTGCTCTTTCATCCAGAGGGCAACCCCTGCTCTTCATCCCTGCCTGTCTTTCCTAAAGAGGCAGCATCCATCCACCACAGAATTCCATCCATCTCCCCATTAGATGTGTTCCAGATGCAACACATATGCTATTGCTTTAGCAGCATCATTGTGCCAATTTTTTGCTGACAGCATAAGTAAGTGAGTACAGAGCAAAGGCAAGGCACAACTCTAGTGCCAGTTATTTCTCCTTGGTGAATTTAAAAGGTCTACCACAAACAGCAGTGGTATCTAAATATCTCAAAAAGAATCATAACGATTTCATAGGAGAATGCAACAGAGAACCTAAAAATAGGCATTGCTACTAGTATTTCCACTATAATTTAATACAACTTACCTTTTTTTTAGTATACTTGGGAACAAGTCCTGAGTTTTCAAGCAGATATTTATCTCCATGTCTTGTATCAACACAAATAGGTCGAGGCTTTTTAGGCAATCCCTTGATAACAGCAACTGCATTTGTATTTATAAAATTCTTTTTACTCTGAATTCCCGTAACAGGTTGATCTGTCCTCCGTGGCACTGATAATACAGGCAATTTCTTACTATCATCTTCTTTTTTCCCTGTAAATTGAGCATGTAAACATCCTGAGCAATAACCATGAAGAGCTTTGCAATTTAATGTTACTACATTTTTCAAGATGGGAAAATTATGTTCAAAATTACAGAAAAATAGAAACCAATTGTATCTACAATTAAAGAATTAACTGGGAATGTACTATGATGAAAATGAATATGCTTGTTTGGCATAACAGAAGTTTCATAACCTAGGGAATCATATGTTGTTTTACATGGGTTTGCCTTATAATATGCCACTCATTTCCTATTAACTGCAGTAGTATGGGACTTCTTCCAAATGTAATTAAAACTACTTTTACTAGAGACACTTGCTGTCAGGGCCCTGCCCAGCCTCACCTGGGGCATCCACCCCACACCCTTGGGCTCAGGAACCCCATTTCAGCTCAGTCCTGGGCTGTCAGTGCCTGGCAGAGATGTCTCAGCCATGCCTGCCACTAGCCCTACTCCTGGAGAGCTATGTGGAATCAGTGGATAAACCTGGCCCACTACCTATCTCAAAAGGGGAAAAGGTTCCTGGAACAAGAGTTAGCAGGGCTCATAGACAGGGCTTTAACCTAGATTTGAAGGGGGGACGGGGGGGAAGGGAATAGAATACAACTCGCTAGCGATGAGCCTGGGGGTGGAACGCCGACATGTGTGGGATGGTGCGTTAGTGAGACTCTTCAGAGTACCATCCCAGTGGAGGTAGGGGATGGAGTTCCATGCAGCAACCAAGGTGCATGGGTCTCTGACAGGTTAGTAACTGTGGAAGTCCCTGA